CGGAAGGATATTGTAAAATCTCCAGTCAGAGGTGGTATTTGCCAGTTCTCCAAACTATTCAAAATTTCCACTGCCGGTTCTCCAGAACTGGTCAGAACCTGCTGAATACCACCTCTGGTTACAACTTTATACAAAGAACCTTGCTAGAAGGATCAGTAGATGAAGAAAGAATTAAGAAACAACAAATAGATACCTGGAATAGCAATACATATATACTGTAGATAGTCTTCATTTATCGATCTCTAGTTCAGTGACCAAACTTACGACAGCACTGAAAAATAAGACCTACAACTGGCCCTTCAAGTTGCAGGCATTGCAGCATTCCCCTTGGTCATCAGATCATTATTCTAGTGCTTGGCAACCAGCACACATTTAATGATGGTGGCAGTCACATGATCATTATTTGCAAGATTCAGTCAGCTTCTGACAAGCAAAATCAATGGGGAAACCTGCAAGAAGTCTCAAGTCACAATAACATGATACCATCCTTGGCAACCTATGGCAATTTGCTTGACTACTATAGCCAGAATTGACATAACCTGTCACAGTTTCATGATGTCACACATTACAAACAACACCACTTAGCAAAAGACTTCTCAGTCCTAATAGACAGTTGGTAAATGAGGACTATAGGTAGTCCACCATTACCAAGCACTTGTTCATTAAACAGAGTTCGACAACATCATTCCTTTGTTCACTTATTTATTTTCCAATAGCAATAGCACTTAGATTTATATACCACTTCGCAGTGCTTTACAACCCGCTCTAAGTGGTTTATAGAGTCAGCCTATTGCCCCCAGCAATCTGGGTCCTCATTTTACCGACCTCAGAAGGATAGAAGGCTGAGTCAACCTTCAGTTGGTCAGGATCAAACTCCTGGCAGCGGGCAGTTACCTAATCCCCATCAGCAATGCCCTTCTGCACTTTGCATAAAACAAACTGGGCAGTGTCTGTACAAAATAATACAGAAATGTATTTCTGAGATCAAGACTAGCAACAATTAATGACCAAAGAGAGAAATTATTCCAAACTAAGATAACATTCTATAACTGACTGTAACATAGCCATTCCAAAGGGAACAAAGAACTTCAAAACTAAAATTGAACGATGAAGTTGCCAGACTACAATATTTCAAAATGTCTAATTCTGTGGCTAATTTAGCCTACCAAAGCCAAGATGTTGCCTTTCTTACAAGCAATATAGTCGTTAACCTGAATAAAAGGTTGTTTATTGTATTATAATGTTAAAGGTAATTTTACTTTTAAAGGGTTTTCTCTGTGTTTGGAGAAGACACAGAAGGGATCAAAGATTGAAATTAACTATCTAAAGTTATGTTTGTTGAAATGAATTATTTACTAAAAGCTATGAAATCCTAACTGGTGATTGTAAACCAACATAACCTTCCAAATACCTACTAGGATGTTTGAGACCCAATGAAACAAAACACATAGAGTATCACATTAAATATTAGGATAGAAGGAAATTCAGAATTTCAGCATTTTGAACCTACTCCTTGATTTCAATACTGCAGACTTGATTAGATACCATAATTTAGAATACATTAGCAGTTCAGTCATGTTGTAGAAACCTTAAAAGGGATTTCTTCCTCACTTCAGTTTTACTTAATGGAAAAGGCAGTATTAACAAGCTGCAATAGCAAGATCTTTATCAGGAGGGAGATTGAAAAAGAGAAGGAGGGAGGGAAGGAGATAGAAAAGAAACTTAACTACATTCTCTAAGGTAAATTTAGATAAAAGAGTTTTCTCATTATTAGCAGGAAATGTCAGATTTGGTTCATAAAAACCAGAAAAAATGTCCTTCTGTAATAGCAAGACACTTGTTATTACATACAGAATTATCCTTTTTGCACATCTGCCAAGAAATCTTGGTACATTTCCTGAAACACTATTATTTTTTGTTAAAAAAATGTATAGACCTTTAAACAGCTATATATATTTGTTCTATATGAACCTGTACCTACTGAATTAATAGCCAATACCAACAAAGTACAAATAATTGTCAGGGTACAGTGGCAATTGAGGCCTGGATTCACATTGCTAGGAGAAATGGTCATAAACCGTGACATCACATGAGTGTATTCCTTAACGATAGCAATCGATAGCAATGCAAGACCTAGTGGCTTTGGGTCTGGGGTTCATTGGTTCAGGGAGAATTCCCACCTTTAGTCTTGGATGGGGTGGCACTACCCCAAACAGACCCTGTGCATAATCTGGGGGTTCTCCTGGACTCACGACTCTGTTCGAAGAGCAGGTGGTGGTCATGGCCAGGAGGGCCTTTGCACAACTGCAGGTTGTGTACCAGTTATGCCCTTTCCTGGATCAGAGGTCCCTACTCACAGTCACTCATGCCCTGGTCACTTCCCGTCTTGATTATTGCAATGTGCTCTATATGGGGCTGCCCTTGAAGAGCATCCGGAAGCTCCAGTTGGTGCATGGTTTTATGCAGACCCCGGTGTGCACATTTATCATCTCTCCTGCAGGAGCAGCGTTGGCTGACAATTTGCTTCTAGGTGCAATTCAAGGTGTTGGTTGTCACCTTTAAAGCCCTTCATGGTTTAAATCCAGGTTATCTGAGGAAACATCTCTTGCCAGTGACATCTACCTGACCCATTAGAGCAAGGAGGCAGGAAATGCTGCGGATCCCACCCCTGAGGGAGATACATCTGGTGAGACCTAGAAGAAGGGCCTTGTCTGTGGTGGCTCCATCTCTCTGGAACATCATTCCCCCAGAGTTTAGAATGGCCCCCTCATTAATACTATTCCGAAAGGCACTGAAGACCTGGTTTTGCCAGCGGGCCTGGGGAACTCAGAGAGGGATGAAACCCATCAAATGGCTAGTGTGACCCACTGTCGTCGGGGTGGGGAGAGTTGGTTTTTGGTTTGGTTTGGGGTTTTTTTCCCAAATTTTGTTCTATTGTACTTTACTAATTTATTTGATTATTTTTGTTAGTTCTTATTGTTTTTATTTTTATTTTTTGTTTTAAATATGATTTTACATTGTGTAAGCTGCCTTGAGTCACCATGGGCAAATAGGCGACAATATAAATCAAATCAAATCAAATAGTAGTAATATTATTTATCTTTCTTATCTTCTTTACGCCTTTATTTTACTTCTTTATTGTTATGATTATCATTATTCTGTTAATTTTACATGTACTTTGAGAACTTCTGCACCGGAGACAAATTCCTTGTGTGTCTAATCACACTTGACCAAATTAAGTATTTGGTTCAATTCAATTCAATTACAGCCAGTCACAATTGTCCTCATAACTTCAAGACATGTGGGTGGTTAAGCAGGAAGAGGCAGGGATCCCAGGTAAGCAGTGTGGGGTGGGGTGAGGGAGGCCATGGCCAATGCAGGCTGCATGTACTGTAAATAAGGCCTGGGGAGACCAACAGCAGCTGTGGGTAGGATGGGAGGTGTACTATGGATGAGACATAAAGTGGCTTATTGGAATGGCTTGCAACCTTCTCTGCGGCTTCCCTATTGAGTTTGCTTTTGGGAACCCAGAAGGGAAGGTCACTAATGGCAATCACATCATGGCTTCCTGGAACATAATTGCATGCCAGGCATCCAAGCATTTGAATCATATTCACATGGCCACAGAGATATTCCAATGTCCAGAACTTTGAGGATCAGGCATACGTCCATTTTTTCAGCTCTGTCATAATTTTGAATGGTCACTGAATGAATGGATATAAGTTGAGGACTATCTGTGACTATCAATTTGCACCTCTGTAAAAGATATTCATGAAAATAACTGCCCCTCTCTGCCTAATTAAAGTCCATCCTTCCAACTAGGAGCTTTAGAAAACATTTTCAAGATAAGGACAACCTTTTTACAGTTATATCTATGTTCTAGCTCTTTGCTAAAAATTAAGGGAATAGACCACTGCTCAAAAAACCAATTCAAAATCTCCAAAGTAAGAATTCCCTTAAACTACTTTTTAAAATTTTTGGATTTAAAATAGAAAAAAACATCTACTAGAAAGAAAATGAGAAAAGAAACTGAATTCTCTCATTTTCATAACCACAAAAAATACAGAATATAAGCATTAAAATTGTCCAATATCCTAAGACTGGCATGGTTAAAAAAAAATCTGTAAATGCAATGCCATTTGTCCTTGCCCATTCTAGATTTCCCTGTTTACTGTCCTCCCATTGTGAGACAAAGTACATGGCAGATGGGAAAACAGAATGATTTTGGCTTCTTGACATCTAGCAAGGACACAGAGACAAAAAGACAGAGAAGGTATTGATATGGTGAAGGATAATAATGATGTCCAGATATTGTGAATTCCAAATGTTTAAGCTTAAAATGTTTTCAGTACACTCAGAACACACTGCAAATAAGATCACAACATGTTTCAATATTGAAATAAGTTTCCTGAAATTTTAAACTTTTTGCATCTCTTGGCAAGGCCCAGGAAAAAAGATCATATCCGTTCTAGCCCTTCACACCTGATCTTCCTTCCTTCTGTGTCTTTTTCTCTTTCTCTGGTCTTCCTTCAACCTTCTCATGTTTTTCCCCTGAGACCTTTATAAACAAAATTTAGGAGAAAATCAAGTTGTTTAGGGTTATAAAAGCCAGAAATATCTCACTCCTGTTCCAATTGGATAAAGTAAAAGCAAAAATCTGGAATGGTAAGGGGAATGTTTTCACAATAGACAGGAAGTGAGGAAAACAGATTCAGACTCATAGTCATGATGGTACCACTCAAGTGCTGGACTCTTCCTATAATAATTGTGATTTAGATTACACGCAGTGAGGCATCAAAGGAACAAAGCACCCAAAAGACATTGTTCCATCTCCTATTTTCCCCAAATTCACCACAGCTTTCTGAGAAGAAAGCTGGATCAAAAAGACTACACCTTACCTGGTACCAGTGTTTCATTCAGGGCAGGCCAAGAGTAATTCCCAGCATACCAAAAAGAACTACAAATTGGTCTTGAAGAACCAGATTTCGAGAGCTACTCACCAACCATGGAATGAGGAGGTCAGTGAAGTATACAAATGCTGCTCCCAGAATGAAGCCAACAGCTACAGGGAGGAAGGCAAAGGCTCCAAACTTCCCAGAGTCCTCCGCTAGCTCAATAGCAGGTTCAAGAAGGGACCAGAAAGAAGCAGCCAGCATAACCTAAACAACGGAAGACAGTAGGCTGTTCAAGTCACAATTAAAACAACTTTATGCTCAATTCCCTGAGAACCCAAAGAAAGAAAGTTGATGTTAATATCTATTTCCATTCACCAAACAGAGAGGCAGGAACCAGTGTGGATTTATATACAACATATTTAAAAGTTAAGCAGAGTCTAAATATTTCAAATTAAAAGTTGGCAACTTATCACCCAGGAATCACAACTAGACACAAGAACATTTTTTTTCCAATCGCCATCACTCTGCTAAATAAATAACTAGACACAAGAACATTTTTTTTCCAATTGCCATTACTCTGCTAAACAAATAATCCCCTCAACACTGTTCAATTATTACAAAGTCTGCACTATTACTACTGTTAATCTTCTCATCACTCCTTATCACCCATCCCCTCCCACTTATGACTGTATGACTGTAACTTTGTCACTTATATCCTTACAATTTATATTGACTGTTTCCTAGTATGATTTGATTGCTTATTGTACCCTATGACTATCATTAAATGTTGTACCTTATGATTCTCAACTCTTGACAAATGTATCTTTTCTTTTATGTATACTGAGAATATTTACATCAATAAAAATTCCTTGTGTGTCCAATCACACTTGGCAAATAAAGTATTCTATTCTGTTCTGTTCTGTTCTATTCTATTCTATCATAGAACCACAGGGCTGGGAGAGGCCATTCAGCCTAAGCTCATATTTAGTTATTTCATATTCAGTATATGTGGCTTCCATAGAAAATCTGAAAGCTCTTTACCAAATGGTCATTTTATTATGGAATATAAAAGGCTTGTTTCAACCACTGTTTTTTCATTATGACTCTGACCAGTGCAATTTGAGCAGTGCAATTTAAGCAGATCAGTGAATGATTTTTCAGCTATCTCTTGAGAATGCACAGAAGCTTTGGCAATTTTCAGTCCAACTATTATTCCTGCTTAATTCCTATATTTTATCACAAGATGTTGTTTTCACCAACTCAATTTTTCCTTACCAGCAATGCAGCAGGTGTTTTCTAAAAGCACACCTGGGCTAAATCTTAATATATCACGATAATGATTGTTAGGATATGAAGAACAATTAGCTATTTTTATTCCTGTCTTCAGAGAATGCCAGTTTATCAATTTCTTCAATTATCTTAAATTTTCATGATCACTGTTTGGCTACATGAAATAATTATCAATTTTTTAAAATCCATCCCAGATCCCCTCCCCACAAGAGTTTTAATGAGGTATTTTAATTGACTGGGTTTTCCCCCCACTAGTTCACATTTGCTGCTGGTCATCTTCCTCTCATTTCTTTCCCTTTTCCCTTCATTAGATCCTTCTCCAGAGAGCCAGTCTTCTAATTTGACCCTTGTCATTTGTGCCTCAAATGAGAACTCTGAATTGACTTGTTCAGTGATCTATCAATTTGTTTTCATGGCTGTCCACAATATTCTCAAGAGTCTTTTCTAACACCAAAATTCAAAAGTATTAATTGTCTTTTTATCCTACTTAAGTCCAACTTTCCCTTCCATACAGCGTTACAGGGAATACTGTAGTTTCACAATTCTGATATTTTTAGGTGTAGATGCATCCTAGTATTTAATATCTTTCCCAAGGCTTTTGTGGCTGTTCTGTCAAGTGTTAATTTATGACTGGGATGGGATGGAATAGCAGAGCAGGGAAGGGAAGGGAACGGGAGGAGGGGGAGGGGAAGGAAGGGAAGGGAAGGGCTGCGCTTTATCTGGCTAAGTATGATTAGACACACAAGGAATTTGTCTCCAATGCAGAAGCTCTCAGTGTATGTGCAAATAATAACTGTAATAATGATACCAATAAGAGGGAGTAGTAGAGGAGATGAGAAGGATAATACTACTACTACTACAGCCATACAATATGAGTGAAAATACTTAGACATAATGCAGTACGGAAGGACTAGGTATTCAGCAGAGTGACGGCACGAGGGGAAAAACTGTCCGCATGTCTAGTTATTTTGACATATAATGCTCAAGGTGAGGAGTTGAAAGAGTTTATATCCAAGATGTGAGGGGTCTGTAATTATATTCTCAGCCCCGCTTCTGACCCACACTATATACTGGTCTTCTATGGAAGGCAGGTTGGTTGCAATTGTTTTTTCTGCAGTCCTAACTATTGGTTGGAGTCTGTACCTGTCCTGTTTAGTTTTTATACCAAACCAGATAATTATAGAAGTATAAATGACAGTTTCAGTAATTCCTATGTAGAACTGTATCAACAGCTCCTGGGGCAGTCTGAACTTTTTAAGTCGATGCAGGAAGAACATTCTTTGTTGTGCCTTTTGATAATGACTCTAATGTTGGGTGTCCATTTCAAATCCTGGGAGATTATAGAACCCCAAAACTTGAAGGATTCTGAATATTGTGCTCTAGGATATAGTAGAATAAAGAAGGGTTCCTTCTAAAATCCACTTCGATCTCTACAGTTTTAAGCATGTTCAGCTCCAAGATTGTTCCAGATTTCTTAACTGGTTGTTCCTTTATGTCTGATGATTGGTCCTGAAAGAAAGAAGCAGTCTACTACTTTGATATCTCCACTGTCAGTTCTAAAACTGGTTGTCATACCTGCTGCCACTGATTTAATTTAGTCCCACTTTTCACTGTGCTCCTTCACTTTTATTACTAGAGCTTGCAGAATCTTTGCATTTTGGCTAGCAGGGCAGTGCCATTAACATAGCACAGATTATTGATGTTTCTTCCTCCAATTTTAAAAATGTACATATTCTATCTGTACTGTGGCTTCCTGGCCTGCATGTAAATTTCTCATGAGGGCAATGAGATGTTCTGGGATTCCCATGTTTCTGAGTACAATCCACAGCTTGATGTGATCAACAAAATCCTAAGCATTCCTATAATCAATGAAGCAGATCTTGACTTCTTTTGGGTATTTTTGACTTTTGTAATTATCAGGGTACATCAGCCAACCTCTGCCTTCCCACACTCTCCATCTAGCCTTTTCCTAATCCAGCTGAACAGTAGGTGTCAAAGTAATTTAAAATAGCATGATTTTTTTACATCAAAGAGGTTACAATAGGTTTTCCAGAGTTCTAAATATACATATTTCCTCAAATGACACCAGCATAATATTCAGATGAAGTGTTTATTTGTTTCTATGAGAACACTTTATGGATTAAGCTCAACTCTTAAGAAACTTTTTTCCCCTGAGTGGAATTGGCAGTCAGAAGTGCAGCAACTAGCATAAAAAATCTGGCAGACTTATTCCATTGAGCAGTAATAACATCAAAATAACTTTTACAGATCAGACATTGGGAACTACACCAATAGTCTACTTGTAACAAGAATAGTTTTAAGTTGCCTATGCTGATAAAAAGAATAGCCAACCGCGCTCTCCTTTAAAGAAATAATTTTTAAAGGAATCAAGTGCTTTAAGTCTTTTCTGCCCTTAACCACTTAATTTCAAATTGTCCCAGACTCTCTACAACATGCCTTTTTTACTCACTGTGTAGTAAACACTGGAAGACCGATATTAAATATAAACTAGTCTCTCTCTCTCTCTCTCTCTTTGGCCATTTGCCTAAACCACTCATCTTCAGCTCATGATTTAAGATCCAGAACTAGGGACACCAGAAACCCTATCAAATTTTTCCCTACATCCATTTGTTCTTTAGAAAATGGGGGAAATGACTTGGTGAGCATTGGAAGGCAAAACAATAAGATGCAAATAAAATAAAATGAGAATCCTAAATGACCCTTGACGTTAAAGACCTGAGAACAGTAAAGTTTAGTAATCTAGCAGGCCTGGGTCATTTTTAATGCTCTGATCAAAGATTAAAGTATATCAATCAAGCCTACTCCAGGGCCAGGATCAAATTAATTAAACTTACTTTTTGTAAGGAAACCATGAACAAAGGATCAAGTCTATTGGAAAATACAATCCATCATAACCTGAATCAAGTGAAGCCCAAAGTAGCTTAGCTGTGATAGAAAAGTTTAGAGCCTAATTTTTTTTAGAGAATTCATACTGAGTTTCTCTCTATTCAACAGAAATATGCACAACTATGTAAGCAAGAGTTGCCATGAAAATCAAAGTAATGCAAGGGCTTGTGGACAATAAACCATAGAGTTATCATGCACAGCACAAATTACTCTAAATTGTAAAGGCATACAAATAATGCACTTGAAGTTTCTCATACTTAAAATCAGCAACCAAACTCATGAAATTTATTTTTCTTTATCTCCACCACCCCAATTTGAACGTGAAGGAAAACATCTCATTTACATTTATAAAACTAGCAGGTAAAAATAATACTAAGACAGTTTTACATTGCAAATGTAATCTCATTATTTGCTGGATTCTGTTCTGACATGAAACAATGTAAACAGCAAATCATGAATGCAAATAGCAAAACCACAAATAATGAGATCTTCAGAAGGTAAGAACTGTGGGGTGAGCTTATGGCTACCCTTTCTCTCCCAGTGCATATGTACTTGCTCTCCTTCTCTTCGTTCAACTGTAGCTATTCTCACTGGTCAATCTGGTTGAAAGGTCACATGTGGCTTCCTTGGTCTTTTTCTTTGGCACTTGCTCATCTGGTGGTCAAGGAAATTATCCTGCTTCTACCACATGCAGAAATTTCCACTCCCCATATAGGTAGTTTTTCATGATCTTGGTGAATGGGTCACTCCATTGTAGCCACCAGATGCTAATATTGCCTGCAGATCTTTCACAACGCCTTCTGATCACTAGAAGCAATCAGATAGCCGCCTGTGAGTCCAGAGGAGAGGCTCCTCCACTGAGAGAATGAAAGAGTTTAGTCACATGGCATGAGAACAATGTCCAGCTTTTAGGCCTCACCTAGAGCAGTGGTGTCAAATGCAATTTCATTGACGGACGCATCAGGGCTGTAGTTGACCTGGGAGGTGCAGGTGGGCATAGTCAACTGGATGGGCATGGCCAACTGGGTGGGCATGGCCAGCTTGACACCTCTCCCCAAACTGCTGGC